CTGAGATATGGGAGCTATAAAAAAGACAAAATTAGGGCTGGAGAGATGGCTCAGCGGTTAAGAGCACTGACTGCCCTTGCAGAGGACCACAAACCGTCCCTAACTCCAGTTCCAGGCGAATCTGAAGCCCTCTTCTGACCTCCGCAGCATTGCATGACACAGGTGCACTCACATACATGTAGGCAATACATTCATACACATAAAATAAAAATAATAAAAAAGACAAAGTCACCTTAACAGTGAAAATACTGGATGAAAAATGCACTGAGGGAAATTAGCATATGAGACATGAACAAGTAAAAGATCGGCAACACTAAACATGTAACAAACTACTAAAATGAAATAAAAATAACTAGAATCAGAATGAAATGTGAGGGATGAAAAAAATATATAGGAATGACTGAAAATTTCTAAACTTAAAGTTAGTGAAGATACGTAAGGTCTGAACAACACGATCAACTGGACATGGTGGTGCACGTCTTTAATCCCAACATGTGGGATGCAGAAGCAGGCAGATCTCTGTGAGATTGAGGTCATCCTGGTCTAAATAGTTCTTGGACAGCCAGGGCTACACAGTGAGACCCTATTTCAATAAAAACAAAAGAAAAACATAACCAACTTCCAAGTTGATCTAAGTGAGGAGCATTCCACCAGCAACAACATCTTATACAGTCTTCACGTGTACATGAAACATTATCAGGATCACATTCTGAGCCGTAAACCAATTCCCCATAAATTTAAAATAATTCAAGTTATACAAAGTATGATTCTGATATGGTAGAATTAAAGTTCAATATCAGGAAAGGTTAAGTAATTTTCAAATATTTGGAAACTAAATATTCTATTAAAGTATAAAATAAAGATCAAAGAAGAAAAAAAGTGAAATGATGGTTAACAGAATGCAAGTGAAGATATTTGAAAGTTTGTGAGATGAGTCAAATACAAAACTCAGATGGAAAATTATTGTTTGTGGGAGTATGCATGTAAGTGCCCATATTTTTATGGATACTCATAAAGTGTGGAGGCCAGAGATCAAAGTTGGGTGTCTTGTATCACTCTCCACCTTAGTTTTGGGGACAGGGTCTCTCACTGAACCTCAAGCTCAACAATGGGCTAGACTGTCTGGCCAGCAGTCTCTGAAATCCACCTGTTTCTGCCCCCTCATGCTGTTACAGGTATGTGCCACTTAGACCCAGCTGTTTACATAGGTGCTAGGAATCTGAATGCAGGTCCTCACAAGCACTCTACCCACAGGACTAGTTCCTTAGCTCCAAAAATTATT